GTTATGGAGGTACAGAGAGGCAAAAAACTGGCAAGCTCCACCTTATAACTCTGCTGTACAATTACTGGACATATAATATAGAAGAAAGATACCTATATACCAATGTTTATTGCACTGCTGTTCATAATAGCTAACCATGGAATCACCCAAGGTGCCTAATAACCCATGAATAAAGAAGATACAGTATATATACACTATGGAATATTACAGTCAAAAGAAAATGAAGTCATTATCAATTGCAGAAAAGCAGATGGAATTGGAAAATATCATGTTAACTGAGATAAGCAAGGCTCAAAAGGCCAAATACTATGTTTTCCCTCATATATATAGGAGCTAGACCTAAAAGACATATATATTCATGAACATATGCATTAACTTATATACATGTATTTATTTTTATTTATGTACTTATGTATATAAATTTTATTGATTTCAAGACCTGGTATAGTCAAAAAACAACAAACAAAACAAAAACTACAATCAAAATTCCATCCAACTCCACTCAGAATAGCTATCAAAAACACAAAAAACACCAATGCTGGAGATGGGGTTGGGAATCAGGAAGAAACCCTTATAAACTGTTGGTGGGAATATAATTTATATGAAAATGCTGTGACACAGATTTGTCCAAACAGTATCAAAAAAGAAGCTGGAAGAATCTCTCTTGCCAATTTTAAAACTTATAAAGTTAGTGATAGTCAAGTCACTGCTGTATTGACATGACAGTCAGTGATTATATCAATAAAACTGATTGGAAAATCCAGAAAAATATCCATATATATACTTGACCTTCAAGTGTGCCAATCCCAATCAATGGGAAAGGAAGCCTTTTCAATGAACTAAGGCCATGTGCAATAGAACCAAGTTGGACCCCCTACCTTATAACATAAACATGTTCTAAATGGATAAAAGACTTAATTTCTAGGGTTAAAGCTATAAAACTTTTAAAATAAAATATGTGTAAACTAGAGTGATCTGGAAACACATCAGTTCATGGAACTTATATGAATAACAGAAGAAGCCAAAGAAAATATAGAAAAATTGCATTGTATTAAAAGTAAACACTCTATATAGGAGTAGTCAAATGTAGAAGGTCCTTAATTTTTTTTAACTTTACATGGTATAAAAATAATATACAAAAAAAAAAAAAAAAGCAATATACAAGCCAGGTACCAATGGCTTATGCCTTTAATCCTAGCTAGATCTGGTTCAAATGGTTCATGGTTCATCCAGCCTGGGCAGAAAAGTTCCCATGAGACTCCAGAAAACCACCAGAAAATTGGAAGTAGCTCTGTGGCTCAAGTGGTGGAGCACCAGCTTGAACAAAAGGAACTCAGGGATAGTGCCCGCGCCCTGAGTTCAAGCCCCATGACTGGTCCAAAAAAAAAAAAAATTGTTGGGTGGGAAGGTGGTGGGAGGATGGGATGGGAAGGGGAAACAAAGGAGGAAGCTACAATGCTTGATAAGAAATGTACTCGTTATCTTGCCCATGTAATTGTAACCCCTCTGTACAGTATTTTCATAATTAAAAAAAATTGTACATTCAACAGAAACCATACTTTGGAAGCCAGGTTACAGTCTCACTTTTGTAATCCTAACTATTTAGGAGGCTGAGATATGAGAATCATGGTTCAAAGCCAGCCAAAGCCAAAAAAGTGAATCAGACTATCTCCAATTACACAGCAAGAAAAAAAAAAAAAAAACTAGACTGGAGGTATGACTCAAGTGATACAGAACTACCATGAGCAGAAGAGCAAGAGTGTAAGGACTATGAATTCAGGATCCCGTACTGGTATCAAAAGAACAAAACTTACTTTGAATTTTGAATTTTAATGTTTTTCAGCCACATCACATGCTAAACAACCAATACACAATCTCCACATCACATGCTTAACAACCAATACACAATCTACAGGGTTTTTTTTGTTGCTGTTGTTGTTTTTTGTTGTTGTTTTTTTGCTGGTCCTGGGTTTTGAACTCAGGATATGGGTGGACACTGTCCCTCAGCTTCTTTTGCTCAAGGCTAGTGCTCTACCACTTGAGCCACAGTGCCACTTTGGGCTTTTCTGTTTATGCAGTACTGAGGAATCAAGCCACATTCTCCACTGCTAAGCTATGATGTTTATATTAAATATGTTAGGTATAGTAAGTGAATTTTCAACTTACAAGGTACTGTCAACTTACAATACCAGTTTTTAAGACATTAACTATCCTAAATCAAAGAGCTAATTGTAAACATACTGATGATAATTAGAACCTAGTTTCTGTAGAAGAGAACTATAAATATAGGATGGGTTGAAAAAACTATAACACACCCTGCAGTAGACTGGAATTGAAGTAATGGATATAAAATTGTGGCATTCAATATATATGCATACATGGAGAAATAAGTGTAAAACATATTCCCTAAATCTGGTCACACATGGTTCACTGAAGAATTGGCTAATTCCAAGACTAAAACAGAGAAATAACCAGATGGACATTTTCTTCAGCAGAAAGAATGATACCAACATTGTAAACAAACACAGAAGCCTTTTGAAGCAAATCCCACTGTTCAAACTTGAGAGAATGGGAATATAAAAATAAATAGTAGGGCTGGGAAGGTGGCTCAGTGGTAGAGCGCTTGCCTTGCATGCATGAGGCCCTGGTTCGATTCCTCAGCATCATATAAGCAGAAAAAAAAGCCGTAAGTGGCGCTGTGGCTCAAGTGGTAGAGCGCTAGCCTTGAGGTGAAGAGCTGAGGGACAGCGCCCAGGCCCAGAGTTCAGGCCCACAACTGGACCCCCCCCCCAAAAAAAAATAAATAAATAAAATAAATAAATAGCAAATCCAGATACAGTGGTGCATGCCTGTAGCCTAGCATGTGTGAAGCAGAAGCAGGAGGATTTTTGGTTCAAGGTCAATCTGGGCTACACAACGAGACCATGTCTCATAAAAATAAAAAAGAAACTGACCAATAAGCCAATGAACAATAGTAAGAGATAAAAATAAATATGCATTTGATAATGTCACTTGATAAAAACAATATAGAAAATAATAATATAAAAATTTTGATGAGGAATATCCTTAAAGTAACTGCCCACCAATTACAATGGGAATAGGATATTCTAACATTTACCTGTCACTAACTCTTCATACTTAATTTTAATTTAGAAAGGAAAAAAATGATAGCTAAAATGATTAACTGTTATAAACTTAGTCAAGATGATCCATACAGCCAGCTAAGGAATTAATCTCCAAACACCACCTGCAAACAGACTGATACACACATACTCAGACTGTAGAAAAAAAAGCTTAATGTCTTGATACTCTTACTATTTCTCTCCTTCTGCCTTCTGTCTAGGCCTTAATACTATTTACTACTTTTTTTAATGGTCAGACATGGGGATTAAACTCTGGGCCTGGGCGCTGTGTCTAAGCTGTTCAGCTCAAGGCGAGCATTCTACCACTTGAGCCACAGCATCACTTACAGATTTTTCTGTTTATGAGGAATTGAACCCAGAGCCTCATGCCTGCAAGGCAAGCACTCTACCACTAGCCCCCTTCCCACCCCTGAGGCCTTAATATTATGTATATCACACCAGTGTGTATAGTAAATTTTCTTAACCCCAGTCATGCTCACTCTAAATAATCTCGCACAGTATTTCTACATAAAACTTCCTGAAGCAAAATATAAATTTATGCTTAAGAAAACCTAATTGTTGGAAAATATCACCAATTTCTTAATTAGTAACCTTGATATTCTGTTTAGGTGGCATAGATGCAAATCCACTTTCCAATCCTACCATCTATTATATTCTTCCAAACACACTATAGGAAAATCCTAATATAGTACTTAATCCTTTAACTAGCTTCCAACTTTCTTTTTTGGTCGGCAGTGGGGCTTGAACTCTAGGCCTGGGCGCTGTACCTCAGCTCTTCAGCTCAAGGCTAGCACTCTACCACTTGAGCCACAACGCCACTTCCAGTTTTCTGAGTGGTTTATTGGAGATAAGAGTCTCATGGACTTTTCCTACCCAGGTTGGCTTTGAACTGCAACCCTCAGATCTCAGCCTCCTGATAGCTAAGATTGATTACAGGCGTGAACCATCAACACCCAGCTTACTTTCAACTTTCTAAAATGTGTATCAAAGAGTAACTATTTATGGACAGAATTCACAGGTGTACTCTATTCACCTTAACTAGAAATTCATGTCACTAAAGAGCCCACAGAACTCTAATTCTAACATTCTTTTTTGTTGTTGTTGGTCGTGGGGCCTGAACTCTGGGCCAGGGCGCTGTCTCTCAGCTCTTCAGCTCAAGGCTAGCACTCTACCACTTGAGCCACAGCACCACTTCTGCTTATGTGGTGCTGAGGAATTGAACCCAGGGCCTCATGCATGCAAGGCAAGCATTCTACCACTGAGCCACCTTCCCAGCCCCCATTCTTTCTATAACATAGTGGTTCACCAACCTCTAGTGTGCCCAACAACCTAGCCAAGCCAGTTAATTTTTTTTTTTTTTTGGGGGGGGGGGGTCAGTTGTGGTACCTGAACTCGGCCTGGGCACTATCTCTCAGCTCTTTTGCTCAAGGCTAGCACTCTATCACTTTGAATAACAGCTCCATTTCCAGCATTTTGGTAGTTAATTGGAGACAAGAGTCTTATAGACTTTCCTGACCAGGTTAGTTTTGAACTGTAATCCTCAGATTTCAGCCTCCTGAGTAGCTAGGATTACAGGTGTGAGCCACTAGTGCCCAGCTAAGTAAGTTATTAAAAGCACTAATGTCCAAGCCCCATTCTCAAAAATTGTTTTTGCTCCCATAATTCAGGTTAGGATCAGAATTCACATTTTGAACAAATACTTCAAGTGAGTTTTAAAGCAAGATATCAAAGTTTCTGGATATATAGGAAATCATATAAAATAAAGAATATATGAAGTATATGAGTCTTCTAGCACTGAGATTATCATCTAAAATCCTGTATTTCTTCTCCCATATTGGAACTCGTAAAGTTACTCACTGCTACTTGGGCGGAATCCATAAATCTCAGACCAAAATAGTCACTTTCAATCAGGTCCAAGTGATACATAATCTGGTCAAACAGCTCTTGTCCTTTGGCTTTTTTCTGAAATGACAAGAAAATAATCAGTGAGAAGCTTATAAAATAAACATGCCTGAACAGAAGATAGTGTCAGTTATACAGGATCTCTTAAAGAATCAACACAATCAAAGTATAACTCTGTAGCAAATGGATAAGACATGGTAGTTTTTCAGTCAACTACTTTAGGCCAAAAGAAACTGTGATCTACATATATTTTCCAAGAGATTATTCCTGTAGGCCAACAAAAATTACCAATTTCTTCTACCTTGTCTGTGCTTTCTCTGTTTTCTTTGATTAAAATCAGATTTCATATTCTTCTAGACTCGAGTTATATGGTCACTTCAGCAAAAAAAAAGAATTATCAAAATATTATTAAGCTAAAACTGGAGCCATTTTACTTAAGTATTACTCTGCCTCCTCTGTTTTTACTAACTAGGAGGTAGCATAATTTATTGTTTCATCTTAATTTTATAGATAATATTCTACCAAGTAGAACTTGATAGCTTTAGTACAAATATTATTTGGCTTTTTAAGTGATTTTTGTTTAAACAATGAGAAATTGCTCCTATCCTGAACATCATCATGTGCTGAAGAAAACCACCTATACCTGAAGGAACTTATAGTTAGCAGTATTAAGAAAAGTAGACCAGTTATTTGACTGTCAACTCTTGATTTGTCCCCTCTGCTGCCTGAGTCCCTTTCTACAGTACAGATTTCTAGAGAATGCTAAACTCTGATTTTAAGACCTTTCTAAATTGGTATATGTGTTTCTTGAGTGATGTTATCAGTGTTTTTGTAAATATTTACTATGTTTTTCTACTTAGCTTTATCATTTTGTATTTTAATAAAAATGTTCTAAGTATTCAAAAATTACCAATTGAGGCTGGGAAGATGGCTCAGTGGTAGAGCGCTTGCCTTGCATGCATGAGGCCCTGGGTTCGATTCCTCAGCACCACATAAACAAAAAAAAAAAAAAAGCAAAAAAATTACCAATTATGATATATGTAAATAAGGAAGACATTCTTGCTTTGTCTTCACATGAGGGGGAGGGATGTGGTAGCTAAATCCAGCCAAGATCTAACAAATTCTAAGCATACACTACTATTAAGCTATGCCTTGAGTTTCTTCCTGGGGGACATTTTTGTTAAGTCTCTAAAGGAACACAGAGTAATTGAAAAAAGAAATTACAACAAAATTTAGAGCACTTAAGTACAAATTACACAACAATGTAACTAAACTTGCAAACATATTTTAGAAAACAGATAATAGACAAGAAAGATCTGTAAGGGCTTACTAGAGAAAAATCAGACTAGAACCAGAGGCTGGGAATATGGCATAGTGGTAGAATGTTTGTCTAGCATGCATGAAGCCCTGGGTTCCATTCCTCAGTACCAAATAAACAGAAAAGGCAGGAGAAGAGCTGTGGTTCAAATGGTAGAATACTAGCCCCTTGAGCACAGAGAGGCTCAGGAACAGTGGCTAGGCCCTGATTTCAAGCGCCAGGACTGGGGAAAAAACAAAAAACTAGAACCAAATATAAGGTAGGAAATTAGCAAATACAAAAATTCTGGGAACAGGAAGTGTCGCTGTGGATCAAGTGGTAGAGTGCTCGCCTTGAGCTGAAGAGCTCAGGGACAGTGCCCAACAAGCCCAGAGTTCAAGCGCACAACCGACAAAAAAAAAAACTTCTGGGAACTAAATCTACTACTTAAGTTCAACATTTGTTGAATGTTGAAAGTTGAACATTCCTTAAACATTCCTCTTCTATTTTTGTCATATTAAGTTTGCTGCCTAAGTGCTAACCCTTCTGTTTTTTGTTCGTTTTCATTTTCACCAGTCCTAGGGCTTAAACTCAGGGCTTAGGCACCGCCCAAGATTTTGCTTAGGGCTAGCTAGCATCCTAACTCTTGAGCCACAGTTCTTCCAGCTTTTTGGTGGTTAATTGAAGGTTAAGAGTCTCACAGACTTTCTTGCCTGGTCTGGCTCTGAACTGAGATCCTCAGATCTCAGCCTCTTGAGTAACTAAGATTACAGATGTGAGCCACTGTTTGACATTTTTAAGAATCCTAACAGCTTCTTCTAAAAGCTTCTTCTGCTTTTGTTTTAACATACATTCAAACAATAATATTGGTAATTATGGCTTATCCATTTAATACAGAACAGACAAAAAATCCAAACTATAGAAAAGACTGTTCCCTCTACCCACTGAACATCCTAGACACCTTTCTGGAAAATCTCCTCACCATATATGCAAGGGTTTATTTCCTGGCTCTCTATTCTATCCCTCTAGTCTACGGCTGTCTTTAATGACTTTAGTAAAAATACTATTCTAGATTACTACAGTTTTATATTATATTGTGAAATCCAAGATGTATGAGACTTCTAACTTACTTTTTTTCCAGGACTGTTTGGCTATTTGTTTAAGGATCCTTTGAGATTCCACATGAAATTTAAAATGAACTTTTTTCTTCTTCTGACAAAAACAAAAATGGGGGGCTGGGAAGGTGGCTCAGGGGTAGAGTGCTTGCCTTGCATGCATGAGGCCCTGGGTTCGATTCCTCAGCACCACATAAGCAGAAAAAGCCGGAAGTGGCTCTGTGGCTCAAGTGGTAGAGCAGTCGCCTTGAGCTGAAGAGCTGAGGGACAGTGCCCAGGCCCAGAGTTCAAGCACAGGACTGGCAAAAAAAAAAATTCATTAAAAGAAAAAATGAGATATTGATAGGAACTGTTTTTAATCTACAAATCACTTTCAGCAGTACAATCTTTAGTCTTTTAACCATTCAACATGACCATTGATTTGTTTCATTTCTCTCAGCCATGTTTTATAGTTTTTAGTGTGCAAATCATTAACATGCTTGAATGAATTTATCCCTGAATATTTTATGTTCCTTGAAGCTACTGTAAATGGCAACTTTTCTTAATTTCATTTTCAGGCTGTTTACTGCATATATATAGAAACAAAGATGCTTCTTTAATCTTACAATATTGCTAAATTCATTTAGTAACTTTGTTTGTTTTGTTCTGTGAAAGAGATTTTAAATCTATATCTACTTCAGAGTTATTTAAGATCTTCTCAGGGCTGGGAAGGTGGTTCAATGGTAGAGTGCTTGCCTTGACTACATGAGGCCTTGGTTTTGATTCCTCAGCACCACATAGGCAGCAAAAGCCAGAAGTAGTGCTGTGGCTCAAGTAGTAGAGTACTAGCCTTGAGCTGAAGAGCTGAGAGACAGTGCCCAGGCCCAGAGTTCAGGGCCCATGACCCATCCACCCCCAAACACACACACACAAAGATCAAAGATCATGTCAACTGAAAGAGAAATATTTTACTCTTTGCCTTCCAATTTGAATGTCTTATTTATCTTTTCTCCTAATTGCTCTGGTTAAAAGTTTGAATACTATGAATAAAAATGGAAAAAAGCAGGCTGCTTGTCCTGATCTTAGGAAGAAAAGTACTACTTTTAACTTTTCATTTGTATTTTAAATTTTATTTTACTTTTATGCCTCCTATTTTGTTCTTCCAATAGGAGAAGATTTTTTTTTTGGGGGGGGGGGGAGTCGGTTTTGAACCGCAATCCTTAGATCTCAGCCTCCTTAGTAGCTAGAATTACAGGCGTGAGCCACCAGCACCCAGCAGGAGGAGTTCTAAAACATGATCTTCCAGCTAATTTCTCCTCGAAATTAATTGATTTTTTTTTTGGGGGGGGGGTGAGTTGTGGGGCTTGAACTCTGGGCCTGGGCCCTGTCCCTCAGCTCTTCAGCTCAAGACTAGTGCTCTACCACTTGAGCCACAGTGCCACTTCTGGTTTTCTGGTGGTTTATTGCAGTTCAGAGTCTCATGGGCTTTCTTGCCCAGGCTGGCTGTGAACTGCGATCCTCAGATCTCAGCCTCCTGAGTAGCTAGGATTACAGGCGTGAGCCAAAGCACCCGGCTTAATTGATCTTAATTCTATCCAATCAAATGTTTTTAAATTTTTATACTTCCCATACCTATTATTTCCTCTCAGTTCTTGTTAAGCTTACATTCATTTCATATTGCTAATCTTACTATATGTTTTAGAAATTATATTGGACTTATCTTTTTGGCTGCCTTTGCTCTGGTGATGGCTACAGTTCAGTTTGCCTGATTTTGCTTTTGAGGTACTTATGTTTGCTTATTTTGGATACATTCACTAGGGACTATGAGTTGCCATCTCTAGGCTACAGATAACAAGACAACTCTGGAGCCTATGACAACATCATATAGCTATGTGAGACATGAAGTATGGGAAGGGAAACAGGTAGTACCCTAGACAACACAGGCCCAAAACACAGAAAGCACTTTCTATACAACAAACAACTCTTGAAACTAGTGATTTATTCACTCCCATTCCCTAAGAAAAAAACAGGAGTTTCAGGAAGGGGCATTACTCTAATTGTAATTCACTATCCTCTAAGAGTTTGGTTGAAAAGGAGTAGGAAATTTTGGTTAAGAGAATTTTAACAGAGATGAACTTTATAGAGGTAAGGAACTTTTTAGGCAGTTCAAAAGAGAAACATGGCTTAATTTTTTAAGCCATGCTTAATATCCTGCGAAAGCACATTTCCCAGCCTCTTGAAATATGGCAGAAAAAGAATGGCCATTTGAAAATAAAAACTTTTCAAGGTTCTGTATTTTACTCTTCCTTGAGAAAGGTGCCTTTTCCAGGCCACCCAATAGTGAATATAAGAAGTTTGTAGGTTCCTGAACTTAGTAATTCAGTCTAACAAATAATCTGAAATGTCAAAAGAGAATCTTTCAAAATATCTTAAACTAGCTTTTAGGGGTAATATGGAAATTTTATAAACTTTCACCCAAAAATCTGCCCGCAAGAGTAAAAAACTATACAATATCATGAAAATAAGTCACAATTACAAGTAAATTCAGAAACAATGGTTTTCCAGTTTCAGAAAGATATCTGATTTTGACTCAGAAATGTGTTATAAGGTACAAAACCATGGTGTTGAAGGTTAATTTTGAAAATTAACATTAATATCAACCCCAAAGC